CAGTTTCATTACCAATAACATTTCTAAGTTCAGCTCACTAAACACTACCAACGCCTTCTTTACCAATAAAACTTTCTAAGTTCAACTCACTAAACACTGCTAAAGCCCTTATTTCTAACAAAAGTTCAACTCACTCCACTCAACCATCTCCTTTACTAGAAAAAATTGTTTTAAACCAATGTATTAAGCTTAACATCTATCTGTTTACTTCCAACACACCATGTGTTCACACACGTCACCAACACATACTAAGGAATTTAAAGATCAACAAAAAACTCGTGGGGCAGGATCACATAAAACAAAAAACATACCATCTTTTTTCCCGGGCGCCTGGGCTGCTTTTCCAACATATCACCAAAAAAAAAACAACAACAACCACACGGGATACCTCGAACATTACCACTTCCCACCTAAACCCACAACATCAACATTTTCTACTCAATCTAAAACAACGCAACTTTTTGTTTCCCCCCGTAAATCACATACACATACAACACTACCATACACCACCTCGACACTAAAACACTACCCAAAATCAGCTCCATTTAGAACACTACCCAAAACCACCTCGACCAAAAAACACTACCCAAAACCAGCTCCATTTAGAACACTACCCAAAACCACCTCGATTTTAGATCATTACCCAAGACAAGGCCTTTTCAGACCAGTACCCAAAACACGGCCTTTTTGGACCTTCTCTATCTACTATCGTCAAAGTCTGCTCCAGACCTGACACCTGAAGAAGAAGAACCCAGCAAAAGTACCTGTAGGTAGAGTCGTTAGCAGAAGCAGTCTTGGACAGTATCAGCGACAAGATGGTGCTAAAGTTAGAGCCCTGTGTTTGCGTGAAAGTACAGTTGATTGTCAGCTGGTTGGTGAATCCCACGTGGATCTGGTTGTGAGAGGTTTCTATGTCTACCCCATGGCTAGGTGTAGCAAGAGCTGAACTCGTAGAATCTGTCAGAGAAAAGCATAGAGAAAAAGGCATCGTGGATAGGTATTCACAGGGTATAAATGATGATAATAATAATAGTAGTAGTAGTAGTAGTAGTAGTAGTAGTAGTAGTAGTAGTAGTAGTAGTAGTAGTAGTAGTAGTAGTAGTAGTAGAAGAAGAAGAAGAAGAAGTAGTAGTAGTAATGATAATGATAATAATTATCATTGTTATAATAAACATGTTATCAATAAATATATTAATAGCATTGACAACACTTAACTACTGCGACAATGATGATGATGATGATGATGATGATGATGATGATTATTATGATGATGATGATTACTATTGTATTATTGCCTTTCTTCTTCTTCTTCTTCTTCTTCTTCTTCTTCTTCTTCTTCTTCTTCTTCTTCTATAAAGTAATACACTCACCAGCGACAGAGGCCGACAGAAGCAGGATAGGTACAGCGAACAACATCCTGAAGACAGACCTGACTCCCTATTACAAGATAAGTCACAGACTCGTTGGCTTTTAGAGATATAGGCAGATGGTTAACCCTTATATTGCTGAGATGTCTTCATCGACGTTAACACACACACACACACACACACACACACACACACACACACACACACACACACACACACACACACACACACACACACACACACACACACACACGCATACACATACCAACACACGCACGCACACACACAATGTAGACTGCCAGGACACGTGAAAATGAAACATTAGTCAATTCTGGGGGGTATATTAAAGAGTTATTAGTACATTCTTAAACCCTGTTCTGTTGCCTTGCTTCTGGTGAAAAAAGATATCCATTTATCTTGAATAGAAGTGGAGTTGTGGTTGAAGTAAGTCGGGGTCGACTGATTTCAGAGGTAAAATTAAAGAGAAAACGGCTGCCTAAGTTAGGTCACTTCCTAAGCTTGAGAATCTTTGGATAATGCAAAATTACATTTTTATGCCTTTAGTCTGCGTTTTCCAGTAAAATTCCACAGAGAAATATGTTTTTAAATGGACCTAAATGTGAATGTGTTGAGGCAAAAAAAAAAATGCGATAAAAGTTGCTAAACGAGAGCGAGAATGTCGGTTTCTTTGATTTTATTATTTTGACGAGCACCTGTTTTTATAATGCAGGCTCATCTTGACATATTAAAATTCAAATAAGAGAATATCTTCACAAGCCAAAAGTTTACAAACAGACACACTCACCAGCGACAGAAGCCGACAGAACCAGGAAAAGAACAGGGAACAACATCCAGAAGACAGACGTGACTTTCTCTCTTCACGATCTGTCCTCGACTGACTGGCTTTGTAAAGATAAGCCGCTGGTTAACCCTTTCTTAGCCTAGACGTATCCATCTACGTTTTCACACAAACACACGCCCACCCCCACCCCCACCCCCCACACACACGCACACACGCATACACACACACACACACACACACACACACACACACACACACACACACCTACACCAATACAATACAGTTATGTATTTGTGTATTAAAGGACACATTTATTTAAAATTGAGAATTGAGAATGCATCATCATCATCATCATCATCATCATCATCATCATCATCATCATCATCATCATCATCATCACTCTAAACCAAAAACATTTCATGTCTATGGTTTTGGTTGTATTTAATCATCATCATCATCATCATCATCATCATCATCATCATCATCATCATCATCATCATCATCATCATCATCATCATCACCACTCTAAACCAAAAACATTTCATGTCTATGGTTTTGGTTGTATTTAAGCATAACAATCTGTACAACATTTATTTTGCGAATTGCATTGTATATCCTGGAGAGAATGAAGCTGGCAACAAATGAGAAGTTCCGAGGACACAAGGCAGGATTCCGCAAGTACCCAGTGGCATCGGTGGCCTAGTGGTTAGGCTCTCGGACTCGCAACCGTAAGGTCGTGGGTTCGAATCCCGTCAAGGGCCCGACGTTGTGTCCTTGGGAAAGGCACTTTACACGAATTTTCCTCACTTCACCCAGGTGGGAATGGGTACCCGCTATAGACAGCGAAAGATCTTGTCAGTTTGTTAGTGTTTGAGCGCTTAATCGGCTGCTCGCACTGTATGCTTCCCGGGAAGCTGAGAATGTTTCGGAGTG